GCCGACTCGTGTTGCGACAGGATTGGTCGAATCTAGACCAATAGCGGATATTGTACAAACCGTTGAGTTTAAACGAGCAACGGATCTACTAAAAACCATTTATTATTTAACGTCCATAAAAATTATATTTATATTAATGATGTCTCCAAAGTTCAGCGAATTTTTCGCAAAAAAAAAATAATTTATCAGGAAACACGCGAGCGCCGTTGGAAAATGTTGAGTCAAATTAGTCTAGAATCGATTAATTTTATAGAAGAAAACCTTTCAAACAGCCGTAGTCCGTAAACTGCATACGTGCCGGGCTATGATTGGCTCATGTATTTAAGGACTCTTAGAACATCAATTTCATAAAGAACGGAACGTATCTACCGTGTTATAGGGGGGTCGACTGTATTTAAAAATTAATAATAATAATATTATAAATCACTTTGCTTCTTATCCTTACATTAATACTGTATTATTTAAGTTATTCATACACAAACGACGATCGCTGTAATTTCTATTTCAGTATATTAATGTTTTACATCAATTAAGTTAACCTCAAAGTAAAATAAATTTCTAAAAGATTAAAGTACGGTGCGACCTTACTACCTAAAAATGCCTGCCACCTTGACCGCTCGATCATTCGGTCTCTAAATAAAGTATATAATATGTGAAAATATGCTTGTTAATTACAAAATAGTTTCTTTAACTCGTTTCTTAAAAATATTTAAATGTACCAGTAGATCAATAGAAAAGAATTGTTATTTTTTATAAAAAAAAAAAACAAAAGATTTTGTGTTTTGTCTATTATTGATCTATTTTGTCGTTCAGTTAGCGATAGCCCAGTTGACGGTGTCCCTATTCGAGACCATAATGTAGTCAATTAGCACGGGTGAGGGATGAAATGATGTTTCGATCCTTATTATCTATGATTGCAGTATCGACAGACGGGTAGTCCAGTCTGTAAAGGCACTAGGCTGCCGCTTTAGGAAACTGCAGTATAAAAAATTTTATATTTTTATGCAAGTGTGTTGTTAGAACAAAAAGGAAGCATATTTTTAAATTTTTTTTCTGAATAGATACTCATATAAAAATTAAACTTTTTCATGATTATTTTTTAAAAATATAGTATGAAGTATTATTAAATTGGATTGATGAAAGAAAGCAACGCGACACATGAGAGAACTGCAAAAAGAGGGGTGTCTCTCGGAAGGACGTTCTATGGGAAACTGGCCCACGTGAAGACAACCCAGAAAACTCCACGTGACTATTCCATTAGTCGGGCAAGAACTCGGAATCAATCCGGAATCAACGTATATTGGCTTTATCTTGTGAACATTTTTTTGCTTGTTCTTTCCGCCCAGTGGGCACGAAGAAGGTCTCTTTTAGCAAGGCCAATATGGGTTCGGCCAGGCTCACAATGGGTCGGCCGGGTTGTGAGTGACGATCCCGACATATTCGGACAGACCATCCCCCGAATAGTTACTGGGGATTTAGCGACCCATCCGGATTCGAGCTCGGGTCCCCCACAGCGGTAGGCTGCCACCTTGACTGCTCGGCACTCCGGTCGTTAAAATTTTATAGTGTATCATTATGTGTAACGTCGCGTTAATAATCAAAATCTTTCAAAAAAGTTATAAATACTTTATAAATTTATGTATAAATAATTTTATAACTGGAAAAACATTAATTTTATTTAAGTTTTAAATTAAAATATATTTCATAAATTTACAAATAATAACTCAACTATTCATATTATAAATTTACATAACAATGACATTTTATTAATTACAAGCATATTTTTTGAATGATTTTTAATTAATTACATAAAAATAACGACGTATAATTTAATTTTGTTTTTTAAAATGAATAGTAAATTCGTAAAGCGTCGTCTGGTGTAAATTTTATGCACTATTTTAACACGTGACTGTCTTGTTCCGACATATTGGAGATTCCTGCCATTTTCGTTCAGGTATGGAAGTTATATGTAATTTTCATCCAATTTAATCTCGTTTATTGTAATAAATTATCACCTAAAAGTTTAATTTTAAAATATATAGATTCTTACGATTTGTTTGTGGAGTATATGTTTATTATCCATTCATTGTCAAAAGCACGTTTTGATATTTTATGAAACTGATTACGGTATTGCGATAAATCGCTTTGTTTGTTAAGCTATCGTGTTTATAACATTGAATTTCAATTTTTAGGATGGTTCTCAAGTACGAAATGTGTGTTGGCCTTAATAAAGGCCACAAAGTTACAAAGAACATCACAAAGCCAAGACCTTCTAGAAGGAAAGGTGTAAGTACAAATATAGTTGTTGGTGTGACATTTAAATATAAATATCAAGTTCTTTTGAAATTGAATGGTTTGGAAAGATTTTTGTTAATTCCTTTTGCAGATGTTAAGCAAACATACTCGTTTCATTCGAGATATTGTAAGAGAAGTATGCGGCTTTGCTCCTTATGAAAAACGTGCCATGGAATTGTTAAGAGTTTCCAAGGACAAAAGAGCATTGAAATTCATCAAGAAAAGGGTTAGTTTTTATTTAAATTTATCTTCATCATAATGTTCAATCTTCAATTATTTGTTTGATGATAAGCAACCTTTTCTGCTTATGCACTGCGAGTGAACTTTTCAGGCTTTTGATGGGCTGCATGTATACTTAGGAATAAGTATAAAAATATATAAAAATGAATTGGTAATGCTGATTTCAGCACCATCTATTTACTTTTTAACTAATTTTTAAAAATTAACTTTATATTTAAAATACATCATATTTTTTTGTTCATGTTTAGAGTCAAAAAGTTATTTTTATAGTAATGAAAGGATTTCTACTTTCCATCAAATTAGTAATCCAATATTTTCCAATTTAACTGTATATTTCCCAAAAAAGTCTAACTTAACCTTTCCTATATAACCTTTATGTCATGAAATGATAAAAAGTTTTTTCAAAGCATGAATCAAACAATCCTACTGAAGTAATGAAAAAAACTGGACAATTCAAGTATCAATCCACACTGGAAGTAAATGTTTTAAACTCATCACACAAATTAGTGTCGTCCTAATTGATTTATAATTACACACAAATTATATTAAAAAATGAAATACAGACATAATAATCTATAATGAGGTTATTATTTAGGCAGAAGCATCTCATTCCATTGCATGGGGAAAGTAGCAGACAACCATGTGAGAGAACATTGTTTAAGATGTTTATCTGTTTGGATGGCTGAGGTAATTAAGGTTTAGCCTATTGCTTGGAACTAGGAATTGAATCAGGCAGGCCAAGAAGAATTTTTTTATGGGTGATCTCCCCCCATCATTTGGCCAACTGGCAAATAGGGTGGAAAGAGTCCAAACTAAAAAAATTGTAGTTTGATCTTCATATTTCAACATGTAGTATGGTATGATGTGATTGGGGTTCATTTTTGGTGTTCTAAATTTTGTTCATTGTTTTTCTCTTCATATTCAGTAATTGAAATTATAACAATAGAAAATAAACATTTTACATGCATATCTATGAAAACAGAACATGTAGAGTTATTAGTAAATATTTACGTTAAGGGGTTATGGTTTTTTTCTTATTTTTAAAAAGAGGCATATTTAATAGACATTTGCAAAACACAGAATTTTATTGAGAGACCCTGCATATAAAGTGCTATAAACAAAAAATCACAGGACTAATTACCGACTGTGCCCTGTCTGAGATGTCATTGCTTAAGCATGTTGTCACAAGGTAATTGTGTGTTAGTAATAAGACATCATTGCTCTATCACGTGATGCCTGCAAGATATTGTGAAAAAGAACAAATTCTTCCACAAAAAGAATAAGTTGTCTGGAAATGCATTAGAGATGTAGTCACATGACTGAATGGTGTAGACAGGTCACATGACATGCTTTGTGCATGTCCAGCTTGCAGCTTTATGACAACAATATGCTTAAGCAAAGGCATCTTGGACAGGGCACAGTCAGTAAGTAGTCCTGTGATTTTTTGTTTATAGCACTTTATTTATGGGTTTACCTGAAAAAATTCTGTTTTGCAAATGTCTATTAAATACAGTAATACCCCGAACTTACGCGATAGGTGGGACCAAGCGATAATCGCGTAAGTCGGGGTATAATTTCGCGTATAAATACAGTAGAGCGTCGTTTATCCGAAAGCTGGTTATCTGAAACGTCCGTTATCCGAAAGCATTCCAGTCGGCAAATTTAAATTTTCGCTAGTGCTGTGGCGCTTCAATCTTCGGCTATTTCTCGGGCTACTCAAATATTTTACGTTTTTGATACTAAATTAACATCTGAAGTATAATTTTTTATTGTTTTTATATTTTTCAATATATTTATTTTGTTTGTAGAAAATAAAAAAATAATTTTTAACGATACAATAGTCTTCGTTAGGCTTAACATCGACGAAAATTCAACGCGAAGCGACACGCAATGGAGAGAAATTTCAACATGGGATAAATTAATATATTTTTTCGTACATGATTTGTTATCCGAAAAATAAGTTATCCGAATCACCCCAGTCCCCAATTGATTCGGATAAATGACGCTCTACTGTACATACAAATAATTTTTAATTGGGGCCGAAGACAAAAGAAAAATATAATTTAGAAAAAAATTATTAATAAAATCTTAGTTAATACATGTGCTATAACAACTTATAGCTATAACAAATTATATTATTATACAATTTTTCACATTTACTTGATTATCACACCGTAATTTTAACATTGTTTCCATCTCAGGGATAATACTGTGACATTTACGAATGATGCTTGAATTTAAAGATTGAGCATTTTTTACAGCTTCGTGAATTTTTTCTTTATCTTTTATAATTGTTCTGACCGTTGATTCCGGTAGATCAAACTTCTTTGCCAATTCACAAATTTTCATTTTTGTATCGAAATCTTTAATAATGTTAACTTTACATTCCAAAGATAAAGTTTTTCTTTTTTTGTTTGATGCAGAAGAATCAGTTCTACTTCGTTTGGATGACATAGGAGAGTCTCTTGAGCTATAACAAACACAGAAATAAATAACACAAAATAAATTGTAGCTCTATGTTGATTCTGCGCGACACATCCAAACATGTAAGCAGAACAACAGTGTGGGGGGAGTGAGTAATCAAGAGTTGCGTGGCGCTCAAACAAAAGACGAATCTGCGATATTTGAAAATCGTGTAACTCCGGGTTCGCGTAAGTCGAGGTGTTACTGTATATTCAAATCGCATTCATATATGATAAGAATATAATTATAAATTATATATAATATTTATATAATATAAATCACATTTATATATAATTATAAATTAGCATAGGTATTTAGCTTCTGGAACTGATGTAAACGTAATATATTGGAAATTATTTGGTTAAATATTAGTCACCGCTAGCTTTAAATTAATTTTATTGTGTCTGTTAGACGGTTTCTTGTTTTAATTTTTACTAAATTCATTGAGGGAAAAACTATTCACATACATAAGTTGTAGAAAATAACATTTGAATTTTTGCTGCATGCTTCCTTAACCTACAAACACTACTACACAGCAGTAGTGGTGTTTTTCTGAACCTACTAGTATTTTTTTGAGTCATTTTTCATCAAATTGATTTAGCTGTATTTTCATGTCCTCATGCTAAATGCTCTTCATATGACTAAAAAATTTTTTACTATTTATCACAGGCCTTCAGAAAATTGTTACCTTATGCATACATTTGCATACAATTTTTTGTTTTTTACATGATCACATGTGTAAGATGGTGATTTTTTGCTTTGTCAGTCATAGAGGCTTATTAAAATCATCCCAAACGTGAGTTTTGATGCATGGATGTTTGTCAACTATGCATGATGTCACAACATGGCATTTCTATGACTGAATGGTTGTCCTCAAGGTGCTATGACCTTCAACAGTTTAAATTTTTTTGTGTGTGTTCAAAGAATACATAAAAATTATTTTCTGGATTTTCTGAGGACCACCTCAACCTACCTGTTGAAAAGTTTGGGAGGCTCCCTACGGGAGAAGAGTCAGAGACATTGTTTTGTTTACAGAACAGGTTATGATATTGAAATTTGGCATATGCAGAGAGGACATATCACAGAATTTTTCAGAAATACCAAATTCAAGTAACTGCAGTTGTGTGGCATAATTACAAGTGAAAAATCAGTGGAAAATTACCATCGTACATGTAAAGCCATAGTAAAAAAAAAAGCATATTTGATTGTGTGTTAAGCATGGAATATATTAATCCAAAAATATACACAAATCTGATGGTGGAATTTGACTTGACGTTGTGATAAATTTCTAAATTATACACATTATGACTACAATATATTAATATCAGGAAAAATTTTAATGCATTTTATACATTGTATGAACATTTGTATTCTAATATAAATGAATTTAAAATATATATTGTATTTTTATGAAATGAAAAAGCTTTATTTGTATTTCTAAAATTCAATTCTATTTTTTCCATAGCTGGGCACTCATCTACGTGCAAAGAGGAAGAGAGATGAACTTTCTAATGTTCTGACTGCTCAGAGAAAAGCTGCTGCTCATAGAGAGAAGGAGGGCAAATAAAAAAAATATTGTATTATTATTAAAATAAATATTTGAGTAATTAAAATTCTCTTCAATGAAATGACAGTAGTTTTGATATATTTATAGATTTAATCCATGCTGTCATATTCTAGTACATAATATAATGTTTTTCTTGTTGAAAGATACAGTAAGGTCCCGCTTAATGCTGATTCGATATAACACACCGTCTGCTCAAAAGCTCAAAATTTACGCCAATTTAAATTATCTTGGCATTTCATTGTTTCATATATAAGACAATTATTTGTGAACACAAACAAATCAGCAAAAGGTGGCAAAAAGGTGTACTTTCTTTAAATCTATGTTTGTTTGATGCAATTTTGGAAAAAATATAACATGACGGATGCCGTAGGAAATATCGGTTTGGCTTGGCAAGAATTTACTGATAAATGCACGAACAAAGTGCGGAAGAAGTTGTGGCTGAAGGTATCCAAGAATTCTCAACAAGAAGAGCCTATTTATCACTGTATCGTTAGGTTGACCAAACTCAACCTAACCGATACAGCAGGACTATGAAATGTAGATGAACAAGATATTGAGGAGTTATCGCAGGTTTCTGGTGAGAGTCTTATCAATGATGACCTTCAAGAACTGGCAGAACAAGGAATCCATGTAGAACTGGAAAATAGTGATTCTGAAAATGAAGAACCCAAAAAATTTCTCTACAGATTTCCTTAGTAAGAGTTTGGTAACAATAACCAAAATCATCAATCAAATTGTAGTGAATGATCTAGATTTTGAAAGGAGTGCAAAAGCAAAACAAAGGGTTTTGGATGCAATCTGCTACCGACATTTGCTTAAGGAAAGAAAAAAGCAACAAATGAAACTCCATGACTTTATTGCGAAAAAAAAAAACAAGAATTTCAGAAAAGTCAGGATCTTCATCACAAAAAATGAACTAATATATTAAACTGATATATTATACAAATTAATATAAAAATAACTTAAAATTAAAGTAAAAATTTTTCTATTTTCAGTTGCGTGTTCCCCTATCCCTATTTATTCTGTTAAAATGACCTTGTTTAACACTGTTGTTTAGTGCTTTGCTGTCTAGGAACGCATCCCCCCGCGTTAGCGGAGTCTTACTGTACAATAATATGTTACAATACTGTCCACAATGCAATACAATCATTGATGTCATACTTAATACTCAGTACAAATTATTAACCTAGATTATAGTACACAATATTTATAATGTTTATTATCAATAAAATAGTTTGATATTTCATTCAGGAATATGAAACTATCTTAGAAATTCTGTTTATTAATTTATGCAGACATTTAACAGAGAAACCACGTTAAGCATGTTTTGAAGCTGGAAAGTAGTTTTCTATAATTTATTAACTAAAGTTTTAAAAGGGAAAAAAGTTAATTTTTTAATTTTTAAAACTTTATATAAGATTTGAGAAGATATTCTTGATTAAAGTTATGAAATTGAATTCCATTGGCAGGTAGTTGAGAAAGTAAACATATTTCTCTGATGTTCTGATTGACAACTTTGACATATTACAGCTCCATTGTCTAGTCCTTTCATTAAAAGTTTATCAGATTTGCAGGCATGTTAAAACTTATGGCCTTACAGACAAGGATCAAGAATTAAGGTAGTTTCATACTTTGTGAGAATGGAAAAGAGAGATTTAGAAGCATTCAAAAGAACGAAAGAGCTCTTTTTGAAATACTTGCAAAAAGCTCTTCATTGAAATCACAAGTTCCAAAAGTACATGCTTTTAATACTTGCAATTTAAAGCTTTAAATGTGTGGCCCTTCCTGAGTTCTACATTTCTAAAAATGAGTGCATCAAGATGGGAGAATGGAAAATAGTATAGTCCTGTAAAGAAATTAAGGAAGATTATCCCAAAGTGTATTTTTGATAAGTTTTAAATATATTTAGATGTAAATATATGGATTTTGTTTAATTATGGTTAGAGTTAATCATTTATGTATTTTATTGAAGATAATTCTGTTCTAGTTTAATTTCAACTTTATCGGTTCCCACATTGAAGGATGTAAAGGATTATGATCTAACAACAAAAAAGTAGAACTGTCAGCTTTTCTAACTCTGTGAGAGAACAGAAGCATGTCACTAGTAATGTAGTGTTGCATACCAAATCTTAGTTTCACTTTCTTTTCTCTTCAGCTTTCACAACATACAAATGGACCTTTAAAGTTACAAGGTAATTGGTTACCATTCACTTTACTTTTAGTGTATGAAATTCTTATTAGTTAACTTCTAATTTTTAATAGTTAAGTTATAAATACACAGGTATTAGTGCCAAAGAGTAGGAAAAATTAAAAAACTCAAACTATTCTACCAAATTCATTTTAATCTGTTTTTGCGATATTCTATAAAATGTCTGACTTTTAGACACTACATGAAAGTAACATTTTATCCCAAGTATTTTATAAAATGCCTCATTCTTTAGGCAAAATATATAATGAAGTTTGAAATATGATTTGTGCAGTTTTGTTTTATATTTCCAAAAAATAATATAAAATTAATTTAATGTTTATTACAGTAAAAATTTGTTTTATAATTAAAAATATACCAAACAATATTAAAAGCAACAGATATTTTTTTCTTTTCTGTGCTTTGTTTTTGAGAATATTCAGTAGCATGTTCATAGCCATGTCAAATACTTCAGTAACACAACTAATTACTATGCATTATGTAAGCAGCACTAGAATGGCACTTTGAATTACAAAAAACTCCAAGTATTTGTATTCTGCCATCTAATTTTGCATCTAGTCACTTCATATATTACCTAGTATTTATATATTGCTGAGTGCTGATCTGAGATTCTCTGTATCCATCATAACTACACTTTACCAACCTTTAACATGCAGTCTATTTTATTAATGTAATCTAATGCTTTCGGTCAATTAATTGACCTTCATCATAAATAAAAAAATTGTTTGATCCTGATGAACGATAAGCAGCATACCAACGAAAGAAAAAGCACGGACAGATAAAAGATAGGCATTAGTTGGTGCCTGTTATATCATCACTTGTTTATTTATCTATTCATTTATCTATTATTAATTTTTATGTGTATAATTAGTGTATGTGTGTATTTGTATATTTTCAGTCTAGATTCTATTTATCTATTTTTGGACTTGCGCAGTAGGTGTTGAGAAAACTTTTAAAGTTAAAAACGTTCTATAATCAGTTTCGTTTGTAATAAATCAAAAAATTGTTCGATCTTGATGAAGGTCAATGACTGAAAATGTTAGATTATGTTAATAAAATAGACCATGTTAAAGGTCGGTAAAGTGTAGTTATTTTTGAAAGTGCAGTTCGAGAAGAGTCTGTATCCTTCAGTACATCATCTAACATTGAGTGCTTTACAAATTGAATTGTGATCTTGTATATAGCTACTTCAGAGTATCTTGCATGGTACCTGATAAAAATCACAAACTGTGTGTGTCATAACAGCAAAATGTAGGCATCCTTTTTATTAATCTCATACAGAAACAAACAATAGCCCTTTGTTCTAAGAACTTGTCAGAGATTTTTTTTTATTCAAAGTTTATTTTTTAATCTTGTTAGAAACTGAAAGCTTTATTTTTAAAACAGAAGACAAATAACACAGGCATTAAATCCCTCTTCACTCTCAGCAAAATTCTTGCAAATAACATGTTTACATTTTGGACATTAATAAGTTTCATCAGTTGTTTTTTAACATAGAACTTGCAACACTCAGGTAAGTTATTTCATTCTGTTTATATATCATTTAACAAGCTCTAAATTTCTTTACATTTTTATAATGACAGGTTAATTGCAAATAATTTAACTGCCCTGTGGGCACTAAGAAAGCCTTTTTAGCAAGCCCATTAAGGGTTTGGCCAAGCCCTCAATGAAGCAACTGGGTTGATGACAGATGGGTCCAAATATCTGGATGAACCAATACCCAAAAAGTTACGGGTTTTCAACACTGGGTCTTCCAGAATGGCAGGCTGCCAATTTAACTGCTCGACTATCATTTTAAATTATTTAATAGAATAAGATAATTATAATAGAGAGGTTGTGGCCAATGTTTTCATCGCGAAAACGTTGTACGTCGGATGTTCAGCACCACTTTCCTGTACGCCTAGAAGTTTGACAATGGTGTTTGGATAGTTAGTGGAATCATGGTCAACATTCCAAACATCATTGTCAAACTTCTAGGTTTACAGGAAGGCGGCGCTGAACATCCAACGTACACATTTTTGCGATGAAAACGTCGGCCGCAACCTCTCTAATAATACTGTTTCAAATCTGTGAAGTTTCAATTCTAATTCCACAAACTTCACATAACTATGTTCTATTTTTAATTGTAACTTACTTCAGGTATGAATAATAATGCATATTAACTTACACTTCATAAAAAGTTTTATATTTCAATCTGAGAGGATAAAGAATAGTATTGACATTATCAAAGTTAAAAAGATGATAATTATAATTTTAAAATTTAACATTCTGTAATAATTATTTCAGTGAATTTAATTTACACAAACTTCTTTTTGCATAGAAAGTAAAAAGATACATTTATCTTTTTAACTGATTCAATTATTAAGAACGGAGGAAAAACTACTATTAATGTTAAATATTTAGAATGATTTACAAAATATTGTATATGGACTTTAGTTCTTTCTTTTATTTTAAATAAATAAAATGCAAGCATTTCTTAAACAAGTATCTAGCAGCAGTACACACACTGGTTGTGACCAACTGTAGCATCTCTAGAGAAATTTATCGAATAAAGTCTTAACCAGTAATACGAACTGTGTGTTAATGCAAAAAAATGGAAAGAAGCTGTTTTGTTTTATTCAAATCAACTTTTATGCTGTAATAATCCACATTTAAATTTTAAAAAATTATATAATGGTAAATTGAAATGAATTTCCAAAAAATTATTTTCTAATTCTAAAGTTTTTAGTAGATGATCCAAAAAAATTACTTATTGTATCATACCAAATATAAATTAATTTAAAATTTTGACTATGTAATACTGAAAATATTACATTATTACTAAAGAAATATAAATTTAATAAATACATTTATTATAA